CAATCCGATGGCTAAATTTTCAATTTCTACTAAAACTCCTCACTATATAGAGATGCTGAGATTTTGTCAACTTGATTCAACACTTGGGATGCACATTATTGGTAGCAAATACTGATTCCAGAACCTTCCAGGGTGGAATGTCTTTGCTCTTTCTAAAAGAGTTCAATTATTGCTGTTTTCACCTTGGGTGCTCCGAATCAATAAAGCTGTTGATCCAAATCAAGTAGAGGCACAGTCGAAACATCTGAAATCATATGAAGCTCACTGGAGGTTGTTGCCGTTTTCAAAGGTACATCCCTTTAGACGTAATGCCTTATTCATAAGGTTGTTGAAAACAACTGTTCGACAGCCCACGGCCGGTTTCACCCTTCTTGGGTCTCGTCAGGCAGGCGAAGTCTTCGAATTCCCGTCAACCTTATGTTTTACTTGGACCAGAATTGCACGAATTTAGTGAATTACACTCATTTGCAAGCCAATCTTGTTTTGACGAAAAATCATCTGGGACTTAATCTCTCGTTTATCATAATTTTAAGCAACTGAACACTGCACCAGTTTTCAACAGCCTTATGAGTAGTGTATTACGCCCACACAGGTATCGTGACAACTTGGATATCGTGCCAACTAAAAAAAATGAGGTAGCCTTGTGCAGCACATTGAGTTACTTAAGACCATCATAAACGAGAGATGCCCGTCAAAACTAAATTGGTATGCAACTGAATGTATTTCGCTACCTTTTCTGGTCTTTTCAAGAATGTGACCAATCTTATGGATGATGATCTCTGTAGAGAGAAACAGTCAAAATTTCACCGAGCCCAATAATCTTCTAGCTTACAAATCCGATTTCGAATACTTCCATCATCACTTCACGTGGTGCCATTTTTTGCGTTTTCCAAGGAATAGCGGACCGATTGTCCACTACTTACTAGCAGTGATAAGAAGTGAGCAGTGAAATTTTAAGGCAACGGAGTAGAAGTTGATTTTATTTGTCGGGTTCACGATTCTGTCTTCCGTTATTCTCCCATATAAGTGACCTACACGAGTGTAAAGAAGCCCATCTTGTAAAACGATATAAACTCTAGTACCGGAAACAACCCCGTGTTTGGCACTCAGGTCTATCAAACCCTGATGTAACTACCTGTTCGGTGCAGATAGTCGAACGAAGAAAAACTGAAGCACATCTATCAGTGCACGCACCCGCTTATATGATCTAGGTATGAGGGCGAAGTGACCGCGAGAGATGTTGCCACTTTGTAACATTTGTGCCGCCGCGTTGTGGCGGTTGCTGTTGCGCACCCGTCAATGGCATGCACCACAACAACGAACTCTACCTGGCCACGGTTACCAAGCTGGCTAGGACTGTCAACGGGTTGGAGACCGTAATCTGCACTTAGATGTGGCTGCGCCTTTGTGTTTGCGTGCTCGCCGTTCGCACATAACCTGGCAAATGACGACCCGAATTCCGGCTGACTGTGTCCAACTCGCTCACACACCTACTGATTTTTTCGGTCCAAGCACTGATAATACACTCTATCCACCAAACTATCCACTAAACCCTGGCAAATGACGACCCGAATTCCGGCTGATTGTGTCCAACTCGCTCACACACCTACTGCTTTTTTCGGTCCAAGCACTGATAATACACGCTATCCACCAAACTATCCACTAAACCTATGGGTTTCGTGCGAATTGGGAAGATGGAAACGTGTAGCCCGCGGTTTTTTTGTCGAAAACATTTAAACAACACACAACCCCCCCACCAACCACAGTACTCAAAAGTGCTGAAACTGTTTAGATGGCTTAAAGGGGTCTCCAGAGCTGATGCAGCCATAGTTCAACTTCGGATGTTGCTTAAAAGAGGTACCGTTTGTGGGTGGACTCTGTCCTGCAGGTTAGAAGTTTTGCAAATAGCTCCAATATTTAGGTCCCCATGGATTTCCGTTTGGATCGATCTATTTATCAGAATGTGCTCATTGCTGGCTATCCAAATGTAATAAAAACTGCGTCTCTTTTAAGTCTTCATTGCACAATGGTGGAATCTGCTTTCATGGCTACCATAATGGGTCTTGGTAGTGAGGCTGATCCGACAAACCTCCGAAATCAATATAACTTGGAGAAAAAAGGGGAATAGAGATAGAGAGAAATACACCCTTAGGATTTAGAAGCACCCAATAAGCTTCAACCCCTTACACTGATCCTGCCATTGCAAGTTAGTCATATTCTATGCGAAGATCTTGGGACTGAGTAAACCTTAGTCACAACTAATCCTCTAAATCAATTATCAAAACCAGTCTTTCTGCTCCTCATAACAGAAACGGCTAGAAATGAAAGTAATCTTAACGCGGCCATGTTCCACACGGACCTTTCGACTTCACGAAGCTTATCAAAACAGGCCAGTGGGAAAATTCAACATGAACCAGCCGGTTTCAAAGGCAACTCACCTCTAAGCAACTAAAAGTGTCAAAATTGTTTTGAAAAACCTAATAAAGACTCCATCGCGTGGGACACCTGCGCATCAAAATGGTCACTTTTTGAAAAACCTAATAAAGACTCCATCGCGCGGGACACCTGAAAATGGTCACTCCACCATAAGACCGACATGCATATCGTAGTCCAACGAAGATTCTGGGTTCATCTACCAACAGTCACAAGGCATCACCGCAACACATGATGCAAAGTGTTGTTATGGGCAAGCAGTTTCAATGCGTCCGACGGAATGCGCATCTGGCATGTTTGTTCCTAATACAGGATGAATTCGTAAACGTTCTCCTTGAGTATACGACCGATCATTTGGCTCAGACTTCTGTCTGTCAGACGCATCCAATGTGGCAACCTTGCTGTATTTTGGATTCCCTCGCCTGTCGAGGATGCTCGATCCACTGTAGCCTGGACCACCTCGGGATTTCCAGGCCCTCAGACTTCTCCAACCAGTGCAGATGACCTCCGATCAAACGCATCCGTCAAGCTTGTTCTCGCGATCCCAATCCTGAAAACCTATCGTGGGGGGCCCGCCGTATCTGCCGCTCAGTGGGCTTGCTTCTAAAGGACGGGTATAAGACGAAGCTGGCGATGGAAGAACCTGACGGTAATGAGAGGATTTTATATTTCAGCCCATCGCCCTTGGGCTGGCTTGGTCACTTCCGTAGCCCGCCCAACAGGACTCATTCATGTACCACACAATATAACGATGAGACTACTTCACGCAAAACACAAACAGTTCAACCTATTGGGATCAAACTTGGAGTGCATTAAATTCCCAATTTCTGATCGACGACATATAAACTGCTGTATTGCAAGTGGATAATTGTGACATGAATCAGCAACATTGGTTCGGATCACTTACGAATAAGCAATGAAGTGTTTCACGTATCTTGGTGCAGCATTTCCACGACTTCGGAAAGGTCCTCCTAAACCACCGATGCAAAAAACGGCATTTACGTGCGGGATGTCAGCTTACACCTAACTAGGGAGGGGGTCACAGCGGTCCGCTTGCTTGAGTTTGAAAGTCGGGTGTTACACGTACAACATATTTTACGACTGTGTTCAACCGTCGCTCTCTATAAACTCTTTCGTGTACCTGATGGCAACAGCGTGTGAACAAGTGCGACAAGGTGGTGCGAAGAAAAGCAATTAGAATGCGTTGTCGAACTGCATCTACTTCGTCGACTGGGTCACGTTCCGAGGGCTACTAAGATGCATCGTGATAGCCAGTTGAAAAAAATGCCGCTGCGGCCGTCGTTCAACGTCCAAGTGAACTTATACTACTACAGAAGTGGTCTAGATTAGGGGTTTCGATTATCTGGCTGATGTGAGAAAGGCCATAGCTGTCGGCGGATGGACATTTCGGTGATGATAGAAAAGCGTCGAACTCATTGGGCGCTTTGTCGCTCAGTGTTCACAATATAGTCACCGTTTGGGGACCACTCAGTGACGGGGGACGTCTTTATGGATCCTCCAAGAGAGTGGCCTTTTGATTAGGTCTGACTTAGCTGAGGGTCATCTCTAGTTCCAAATGGAAAAGGTCGTCATGAGGTTTTCCTTTGTCTCACTACTCTCTGGTTACCTTATCAATCGACAACTGGAGAGGAACATTTCAGAATCAGTCTAATAGTTTCCATCTACACGTCTGCCAGTGCTGTTTGACATCCATCACTGACCTGGCGCACGGGTGCTATTTCACGAAACGAGGAACTGGTGGTCTCTGTTGTGAGTAAAGCAGCAGCAATTGGAGCTGATGCATTTTGGTGAATGTTTTATAACCGACGTAAGTAAGATTATACTGAACAGTAAATGCTTGAGCTTTTACGCATGGTTCATTTCCCAGGTTCGCATATCCAAAACACTTGGAAATGCTAGGTTTATAAGCCTTTTGGAAAGAAACTACTACAGTGGTAGTAGGTTACTGAGGTTTGACTGAACACTCGGTTCTAATGGACCTATATAGCTCTGCAGATGAGTAAAAAGATGGGTCGAATAGCCTATAAAAAACACGCTGAGGCCACGTGGATTTTGAGATAGTATACAGTGTGTTAGCTCAGTAGTCCCGTCCGGATGATGGAAGAGCAGTGCCAATAATGACGGTCGCCAATCTATTGTCGTACGAACAATACCACAGTTCATGAATTTACGAACACCCACAGTGCCGGGGCTGCTCACTGAGTAAATAAATGTGAACAGCAGACATAACCGCATGAACATAGTCAGCTGGTCACCATCAGCTCAAAACCGGGAAATACGAGCTGAACAAACATGGATTTCAAGAATGCTCTGTTAATAACAAGATGGCACCCAGTGAACTGCACATGTTCACACAGAAAAAACCAGCTACTTTTCAGTACATCAAGACCACATACGTAGTCGAAAGAAGACAACACACACAAGGAATTTATTCCTGATCGATATGTGTTGTGGATTTTCTAAACCGCTTCTAATGTTTGAGACGACTGAGACACTGGACAAACTGAACATCAACTGGTAAATGAAGACTCAACCACGAACCGACGATGTCTTCACGAATGGTGATGAAATGTCTGCAAGTCAGTCGCCAAGCTCGGCGAACGGATAAACAGCTACTTGATCAAATACGAACAGTGAGGGAAAAACAGTTCTTGCAGGTAGGCGCAGTCCCGGGTTTCTGTCAAACTTATGTTCTACTTACTAGTGTGAGGGGATTTGGGTTCTTTCAAGTGTTCAAACTACTCTCCGGGTGGTCGCGAATTCGAGACTCTTCGGAGTTTCGTGAGATGCGCACTGCTGATGAATCCCAACAAGGTTGAGACAGATGTACAGTGCTTCTCGGATTTTCAGCACAGATTGGTTTCACTCACAGGACAAAATCTCCACCAAAAACACTCAGACTAATTACGGTAGTCCTGCTGGATGAAACAGTAAGGAAAGTGACCAAGAATGGATCCTCTAACGAGGCTTTTTACCAGCACAGATCACAAGAAGTCGGGTGTGCGAAGGCAGAATGTATACAAAATTTAGCGGGTCAAATTTTACTTTAAAGAAAAAAAAATAAATTCCTCAGCACTTATTAACTTGTCCCGGATTAATATTTCGTCGACCGCATATTTCAAGTGGAAATTGCATTTGGACTTTCGTTTCTGCAAGGACGATGACATACAGTTTGTGTGGTCCCTGAAAAATTCAGCGATTCTTTTTTCGAATTAACTTTAAACTACTTTAACCGAAAATAACTAATAGTGAAACTAAACCCACTTTGCGCGAATTTTTACATATTTGCAAGCTCAAGTGACATTGGAGATAGAGGAATTTACCTTGAAAAAATTGTGGCAAAATAATTTGCCTTTCAGAAGTTGGTATATCATTGTTGACATAAGTTCATTTTCCATAAATCGCAGTATGAGCTATCTCCGTAAAAGAGGTCACTAACCGAATACTGATGAGCTCCACAAATGACGAAGCCAGTCGTGTGCTATCGAAGAGATCACAGCACAAACTTATGAGCAGTTTTGTTCGAGAAGAAATATACTGCGATATCTCGAACATTGTACCAACTAAAACGAGGTGGCCCTTTTTCATCACATTTATTTAAAGTATAACATAAACGAGAGACATAGCTGGGGTTCAGTTGAGTCTGCCGTAAAAACCGAATGGGTATGCAAAAGGGCGTACTTGGCACATAATGTCCAAGTTTGGTTGAAGTGGAACACAAGGTTGACGGAAACCCGGGGACTGCGCCTACCTGAGGAGTCTCAAGAAGCGAGAAACCAGTCGTGGGCTGTCGAATGGCTTTCAGAAACCTTGTGAGCAGTTTCCTTTATGAAAATATACTACGATATCTCGAATATCGTGCCAAGTGAAACATGAGGGGGCCTGTGTTCAGCACGTTTAGTTGCAGAATATCATAAACGAGAGATTCAGCTGAGTCTCTTGTGAACGCCAAATTGATTTGCAAACGAGTGTATTTCTCGAAAACAGTGCAATTTGGGTTCAAGTAGAACATAAGGATGACGGAAACTCGGGGACTGCGCCTACCTGATGAGCCCCAAGAAGGGCGAAACAGGTCGTGGGATGTCGAGGAGTTTTCAGCAACCTTATGAGTAGCTTCCTGCCTCCAGGCAATCTTACTGGAAAGAGAATGAGTCAGTTTCAGTAATGCCAAGTGGTCCAGTGACCTGGAAACGGCGGCTAGAGGTTAGGCTTACACAACTTGGGATCCAATTTCACTCTTGGTACAGAATATTGCAAACCGATCGCAGACGCAAATATCGCATTTATTTTTTTAGAGTAAACATATATAATATTTTCTATACAAACAAGAGATACTGTCACTTGTCACATCGCAAGGTGCGATCGAAATCACCGGGATCAGTCATGATGAATGAAGTGTGGAAGCTCAATATGGAGGCATTGTGTGTGAATTTCCTTGCTTATTCTCTCTTGTTTTGGCCTCAACGATATGTCTCTGGTCGAATACTCCCACGTGAGTCAAGCCATGGAGGCCGGGTTTTTCATTGGCAGGTTAACACAACACGGATGGTGGCCTGCAATAAGATAACTTGTCTCTTAGATTACAGCATTTTTCGAAGCTGGATAAAGTGTGTTCCGATGGCGCTAATTTCCACATTTATTTCGCCTGCTCGCGGGCCGTTTCCGCGATACAGTCCACTTGATGCAATTCCAGATAATTAGCTCAACGGGTTCACCGACTGTTTAGACCTAAGTACTCGTAGTAAATGGGGCGAGAGGGCTCAAGTGGTTAGAGCGCGAATTTACTGACCGGAAGGTTTGTGGTTGGAACCCGACCTCTGCCTCTCAACTTCCCCTGTCTAGGCTTGGGCAAACTGGCAGCATCCCGGCCCTCGTGCAACCTTCGGGTAGCATGGCAGCTAGGAACCGGAAAGGTCTTACAGCTGAACGATCTATCCCTCTATCTACTCATATTAATACACGCTACGAAGGGATTGTTTAGTGTTACTTTATGGCACAGTGGAGTGATCCAGTACAAAGCTGACTGCAAGGTTCTGCAACCTTTCATTTGAGCGTTTTCATCGGCCTACTCAAGTTGTAAATTCATACTTGAGAGCTCAACCGAACGTCACGAACGTCAGATAGAGGTTGCTGCATCGTCCAGCCCATAAAAAGTTAAAATGGGCAGATGGTAACGAACAACAGTGTCTTACTCCAACTGATTTGATGGTCTCCGATCGTTCCCTCCCATCTATTCTTGAGTCAAAGAATAGCACATTACTCCACGGGCACGCACCAGCTTACATTACCTTCGCTACCAACTGATCCAAAAGCATTCGCAGCTGTAGGAGGCATGACATAGATGGTAGTTAATATTTACGTCAGAGTTCAACGATTCTATGCAGGGGCAATATCTGGTCCACAAAGTCCTTATCACAATAAAAACCACCTTGACTTGGTCGAGTGTGTGCGTGAGTGTACTAGAGCTGAAAACTTTTAGAGTGAGTGACGAACAGCTGGTAATTTATAGCAATCAAATTGACGCGGTTTTCGTACAAAGCCTTGGAGGTAAATACAAAGTCTTTCAGAAATTGTTCTTTCTCTTGCATCGAAAGTAAAACGCATCCATTGGTTCATCTTGAAGACAAATGAGGGATACTATTTTCTCCGGGGTTTTAGTCTCCCAAGTTCGTGATAAACTCAACCACTTGGTCTCTTAGGGTAGTCCACAGGGGACATTCTATTAGAGCTCTTTTATACAGGATAACGAGTTCACCTGTGGCCCATGTGGACTGACTGAGTAGGAGGGTGAAGTGTTGGACCCGTACTGCTATTTGAAATCTGGACATTAGCTGGCAAAATCAGGAGGAATCACGTAAACTCGCAGAAATTCTAAGCGCTTAGCAGCCTGTGCACAGTGATCATCGGCTATCAGTCCTCCCTGGTGGATCAGAGAGGATCAGAACTTGCAGTATGGAAGTCTACCGTTACAGTCAGATGAGTTTAACTATTCATACTAGGTAATCCTGCTGTCTTTTCGGAAACCTAATCTGTCCGCTTTCGGTAGATAGCCGCAAGTCCATGAAGTTCGCGAAGATGGTTTATTTATTGTGAACTACTTAGTATTTGCGCTGACTTCGCACTGTGCAGATGCTGGTTTACCGGCTACTTTCAAGGTGACGTTAACTGAAAGCGATTGCTTTTCCTCTGGGAGCTCATGCGTAGTGCAGACTATCCAAGTATGAAAAGTCTTTGACCGGGAGTGGATGAGAGTTTGATCAGTCCGACGGACATTCTCATCTTCTGCACCGCGATGAGAACGCTTATCCTTGACGGAAGTCAGTGAGCGTGACTAGGCCCATAAAATCCTGGATGGTGAGTTGTACACACGTTGGCTGGACACCTAGTGGGTATCAGCTTCATGAGAAGCTGTCGGCATGTCGATAACCGCTAGTCACTGGCACGCTACAAGGTTAGAAGCCACTTCCAAGTAATCAGGCAAATGATGAAGTTGCCTTCATTTACAGGAATTCGGTGTCTTTCTAGTTCACTTTTTCTGCGTCGCTGTAAAAGATGCGTTTCCTCATCAACAGACGGCGTTAGAGTATGGCGGTTAGCAGCAGTTATGTTTGGGGTTTCACGTGGAGATTCTGAGCCAGATGGATTTCCAGGCGATGGAAAGATAGACAGTTGGTGTGTGCATTGCATACGACCAACATCTGTGCAGTACAATGTCCATCTTCTAACGGAGACGTTTTGATTAGCCCTTTGCGAATCCTTACTTTGTTGAAAGACAACTCTCATAACATCAACAGAGACCACTTCTGCATCACATGGCTCCAATATAGCCAAGGTGGAACTTGCATAATTACTTAATTTGGGTGCACTGCATTCGAATCGTGTTATCCGCCGGGTGATTTTATGGCGCTTATGTGACTTGATATCATGTTTGTCCAGAAGGTAATGGCCAGAAAATTGCACATCAATTCTGGTTTGATTTATGTTAGCGTGAAATCACTTCGCAAAGGGGCGAATTGCGTTCCCGTATTGGAATAACTTATGACTTCAAAAACACAGACCACTGGGTCTTAAAGGATACGTGAATCAAATTATGCCAAACGATCTACTAGTGTAACAGTGATACTACTGATGGGGAGTATGCGAGTAGTATATCTTCTTGTAAATCGGCTTTGCATTTCTTGGAAAGTGAGATTTGTCACGGAATTTGGATAGTTGCTCTGTAGCGTTTGCTTGCTATTGAGTAACAGGCAATAAATATCCGAGAAAGTTCAGGAAGACGCGTTCAAACATAAGATGGATATTCAGTTTTGTAAATAAGATGCATTTGAGAGTTTTGCTCCCCTGTCCAATAGTCTTTGACTGTTCAGTTAGCATTTCCTGATAAACAACCCCGCAGCGAAGGCCTTTTTCGTTTCACTAGTATACGACCGCAGGACTTGGTCATTTAGAATGAATGATCTAGAACATCTACAGGTGTTTGGCCACTGGTGTCCCAGAACTAAGGACCGAATCGACTGTAGCAAATTTCCAATGAAGCAATCACGAAACAGGTTTTTACTTGTAGAGCTTACCCTGTACTGCAAGCTGCAATAGTCTGGTCATATGCTACACCTTAGGAGTTGTTGTCCTGGAAAACTATTGTTCTCCGTGCCTAGTA